CAATGCATTTTCGTCAACGACTTTCTCAAATTCTTATAATGTTATAATGCTATAAATTCGATTAACGCGGTAATAGTTACAAGGCGTTACTATTCCTATTGCATTATAAAGCATTAGTCTGTAACGCATTGCAACGCGAGACTTAGAAAACGCTACTGACTTGAAAGTCACTAACGTATATGTCTGATATAGCTGAAGCAATCGTTTCCAGACCAACTTTTCGAGAGGAATCGATTGGCAGTCTCACAATTTTATGGCAATGTGTCTTTGACAAGAAAACCGTCTATTTCCGTTTTGCATATCGTCTAACTGTTGTAACGCATTAACGACTAATGTATTACACCGCGTTTCAGTTTCTTATGTCACTGCATTTAGATAGAAGAGAATAATGGATTGTAATCTATTAGATATCAACTCGTTACAATACGATATGCATTATCCAATGAGTTATAACGCTATATCGTTGAAGGAGAGCTACCAAGAGCAAGCTGTTTAAATATGACTGCAGTTGATAGAAAAGTGTGGACCTGCATATTGTCTTTTTCTTCCGTTACTTTAAAGAGAAAAGAAAAGAAAAATATTTTTCTATTTAAAATTTTCTATTTAAAATTATTAAAAATACACATTCTTGGGCACGCGGAAGAGAGGATAATTTATGCCCGTATAACGCGAAAGACGTCTTCTAATACATTAACATTTTTTTTCTCAACTTTATAGGATTATAATGCATTATATAATGTCTATGATATTGCAACTCTTCAGAAACTAATGTATTATAATACATTACGAGATGTTTAAAACGTTATAAATCATTAGAAAAATCGTACTTCATTAACATACATTAAAATCCAATGAGTGCAATGCAGCATACATTATATAATGCACTATAATGCTATAAATACCCCAAACCAGTTTTTATGGCGTTATAATTAGATAAAACATCTAATGTATTATGACGCATTAATTTCTAACGCATTATATTGAAGTAGAAAACTCAAACGCGTTATAATACATTAGAATCTAACGTATTATAAGGCGGTAGACAAATCTAATTGAGTTGTAACGAGATAAAAAATTGAAACGCATTATAATGCTATAAATTTAAAGAGTTGTAATGCAATGAAAATTCTTATTCAGTTACAACGCCATAAATTCCGAAAAAATAGTTTTGTAACGCGTTATAACACGCTGAGCTACGTCTGTCGCATTGTAATGAAAGAAATTTATAGCGTTGCAATACCATAATTTAAGAAAAAGCATGTTTTATAGCGTTATAACGCTATAAATAGGGAAAAAAAGATCCTGTGCGTTGTCATAGATGTAGCTGAATAAATATGTTTATGTAATCCCTACAAAGGTTGAAAACAGATAAGAACAATAAGTCATGAGTTTTTACTTATTCCACAAGTTAACTTGATTGTATTGTGAGTATTATAAGGGGTGTTATATGATGAGTTATACATCGGTGGTATGTACCCATGAAAAAAAGTTATTAAAAAAAAAACGGCCAAGAACGAAACACGTTTTATGTACAGTTCAATCACCTTCTTGGTGATAGCGTGAGGATGGTAGTGGCAGCGATTTCCATTTAAGATATACATAGAGATGAATTTGCTATCTCTAGCTTCCGTTAGTGACAGCAGAGAATTTGTTTAGATTCTTCTTGTTGTTCTAAATAAAGTCTTCATTGGCGCTCTGGAGGATGTTTCATGAAAATTCTTAAGTGTTCGACTTAACTAAGTCTAGACTTAAGTCTCCGTTTTGTACACTTACGTGTTAATTTTATACGCTAGACTTAGTTAAGTCGAGCACTTAAGAATTTTTATGAAACATCCTTCTGGCTTTGTAGCGAATAAAAACTTCGCTAATAGTTTGTTTGCTCGTAAACAAATCTTTGCTTCCTTGAAAAACATATGGAACATAATATCAGCTGTCTTTTAACCGTTTCTATTGCTTTATCCTTATAGTCTAAGAAAAATAAAATCTCTTTTTATCTCTTTGCAACATAACGTCGTCGTATGTAACATCGTTCATCATTATATGAAGCTTTTTCTGATCAATCAAATAAAGTGCCCGCGTTGTATTAGAATGAACATTTGGACGTAGGATTGCATCGTTAAAAATGCTAAAAAGATTGTATCACCATTTGTTGAAAAAAGATACTAATATATTTAATTCAACATTTTTAGCATCCTTTTGCGTTACATTTTTATTTTGAAAGTGGTATCATTGCTGTTACAAGCTGCTCGTGATCTGAACTAACCTTTGTTTTATACACTCTTCTGTTTCTAGATGTCATAAGCCAACTATAACAAATGAAAACACGTGATACCACATCGTCAATAACAACTACTGGTATAGTTTATAATTCTGAAGGTAAATACTTTTATAAAAAAGAATAACTTTTAGTATTCTGAGTCAGGTTCATCAGATCGAACAAAAGATATTTTAAATTATCAAGCACTATTACAAAATGAAATGTTTGGAACAAGAATCGATACAATTTATGACGAACAAATAGGAGTAAGTGGATTAAATGGTAGTGGTGGCATAGCTGAAAATAATTCGACAAGCACGGATACAAATACTGAATCAAATCCACAAACAACCCTAATACCATCGTCGAGCACATTAAATAATACAACGGAAGGTTTGTTAACAAACACTAACTTTAATTATTACTATAATTGCTTTTCTCTATTTTAAGGTTCAAATTTTGGTACTCAGTCACCATTATTTCTTTCACCTTCATCTACTTCTTTACCATCGTCATTTCGTCTTAATTATACGAATAATAATCCAAATATTCTCCGTTTATGTGATCCAAATACGATTTTCAAATATTCTCTTAAACGTAATTCAAATGATTTACATTATTCACCCTACACACTTTCACCATCATCAATCAAACTTTACGTTCATCTCGAAAACAATTCCCAAAACACCATTTAAAGTATTAGATGCATCCGAATTACAAGGTGATTTTTATTTAAATTTGGTCGATTGGTCATCAACCAATATTTTAGCCGTAGGCTTGAATGCATCCGTTTATTTGTGGAATGCGAATACATCAAATGTGACGAGATTATGTGATTTACAATCAGAATTAGATAAAATGACAAGTGCGGCATGGTCAGATCGAGGACAATTTGTAGCAGTTGGAACACACAAAGGTAAAATAAACGTTTTTAATAATTTTTTTACATGTTAAAGTTACATTTTATTTTAGGTATTGTTCAAATTTGGCAAGCACAATCACATCGTAAAACCATTCTGTTTCCTCGTCATACAGCACGTGTCGGTGCTTTAGCATAGAATGACATGTGTATTTATAGTGGTTCACGTGATCGATTTATCATTCAAAATGATACACGCTCAAATAAGCAAGAACGAAAATTAGCTGAACATCGGTAAGAAGTATGCGGTTTAAGTGGTCACCTGATCGACAATTATTAGCATCGGGTAGAAATGATAACCGTTTATTAGTATGGAATCAATCATGTTCAACATCAATTCAAACGTATACGGATCATACAGCAGCTGTTAAAGCAATTGCATGGTCACCACATCAACAAGGACTACTAGGTAAACAGTTGAAAACTGACATCATAATGCTTCTAAGATTTCTCCCGTTGAGCGAATTTTTCTTTTCTTTTTCTGAGATTTTTTAGCAAAAATACCAGAATTCAAGCTGAAAGTCGTTTCAGATATATTTTTTTAACAATGCCGTCATATGAAACAAAACTCAATCATTGTGGTTACAGAAAACAGTAGATGAAGTGCCTGTAAGCCGATGTTTAAAGCAATGTGCTAGGAATCAACATTCGTATGGTTATTGTGTAGTTGGATTGTAGGAACAAAGGATACTAGTCGCTCGTACAGCATATGAAGAAAGATAAACATAGTGAAAAAATCAAAGAGTTGAAAGAAAATAGCACATTCATTTCTTCAACATCTTCATCTCATATAGCCACAAAGTTCATCTACATTTATCGTTGAAACTAGAATAATTCTTTTTCGCTATGTTTTTCACAGTTTTATGCGTGAAACACACGGGAAAAGATATTTTAAGTGGGACGAAATTGTTTGCGAGTCTTAAGCCACTTTAGCATGTACACAACATTATCAGTACCGTTTTTAGCAAAAAAAATGGCTCCCGTTTTTTTACCCTACGTTCCTAAGTTTTTGATGTTTCTCTTTTTGTCCTCATTTTTCTGAAAAGGACCATTACGATGTCAGTGAATATTCGAGTGCTCATTAAATTATGTCGAATATTTTTATTTTTCAGTATCGGGTGGTGGAACAGCCGATCGTCACATTCGTTTCTGGAATACACTTACAGCTCAAAATTTGCAGTGTATTGATACCGGTTCTCAAGTATGCAATCTAGCATGGTCAAAACACTCGAATGAACTTGTATCAACACATGGCTATTCTCAAAATCAAATTATTCCGACATTATATCCGACAATGTTACAATTAGCTCGTTTAACAGGTCATACATTTCGTATATTATATTTGGCAGTAAGTCCCGATGGTGAATCGATTGTCACTGGTGCTGGCGATGAAACATTGAGATTTTGGAATGTATCTACAAAATGTCGTGCAAATAAAGAATCAGACAGTGTACGTAATTTATTCAATAAGATCAGATAGTGATTCTGTCTGATTTCATTTCATTTTAAACTAGAATATTTTTATCTACTACACATAATCACACCACCAAACATTTATCAGCTGATCTTGATTATGAGAAAGAATATTTATACTTCTAATTTTTTATTTCGATCTATACTAGGATTGAGATGATCAGAAGTGACAAGCCATAAATATTTATTTATTTTTACTTGTTTATTTGTCTGTATGTGAATGTGAATTTTAGGCTGTTTATACAGAATTAAGTAGACGTCTTTACTGTCTTGTTTTGTAACTGTTTTTTTATCATTGTCTTGTTTTCTTTTTTGTTAATTTTCTAAACAGTTTGGTTTACCATATTTCTTTCGAACAGTGTTTGAGTATGAGAAAAGGATTGTGGTTTTTTTAGTTTTTGTTATAGCCTTTTTTCTTTTCTTTTACTTTTCTATTCATATTATTATGTGCAAGTTTGTTTTCTTACCGTGTTGATATATCCTATACTCGTCTTCTGCCCTGCTGTAGTCTATACAATGGCAGCAAAAAATATTCGTACGATTTTGTTTTGGTCATAACTAGATAACGAAGGTGTTTCTTAAAATTGTGAAACTACCAGAAGAATATCTGTTGGCTCCGCTGTCTATGGTAAAATTTAGCAATCACTAGGCGATTTGTATCTGGACTTATGGCTATAACAGTAAAGAGGTCTATGTTTTTTTGCAAAAAGTGTTCGTACGGTTGATAAAAATCCTTTTTTACGCTATATAAGCTGAAAGCGAGCTGAAGTCGTTGAAAAGGAATCTAGAAATTCCAGATTCGTACTACGTCTGTGGGTTCGTAGGAACATTCAGATACAAAAACCTATTCTTCTAGTATATTTTATATCTAGATTCATATTTTCTTGGGTTCTTGCTTGTTAAAAACGAATCGAGGAATTTTAGGTTCGTACTACGTCTCTGGGTTCGTACGATCATTCAGATACATGAACCTATTCTCGTAGTCTATTTTATGTGTAGGTTCCTAGGTTCTTGGGTTCTTCCTTGTTGAAAACGAACCTGGAAATTCTAGGTTCGTAAGGTGCCCGCAATTCAAAAATGCAGCACTATTTTAACTTTTGGTCGAAAGCTACATAGTCGGATAGCCCTAACTGAGCTCGAAATACTAAGAGCACCAAGAGAACAAAAGATTTGCATCCCTCTGAGAAAACTTGAGATTTTGCCACCTTCCGTTCACTGTAACTTTTCGAATTTATCATCAACACTGGAAAAACAGACGACTTTTTTCTTTTCTTTCCATAATGACGTCAATTTATTAGATTAAATGTTTGTCTTCAAACAGAGAAGATATATAAAAATTGTGTTGCTTTTTGTGTTTCCGTTTGTTTTAGGCGGCATGACGTTGTCGATCTTTTTTTAGACAAACAAGAAAAGAGAAAGAAAGCAGTAAAGAGAGAGAGAGACGTGAGTGGAATTAAAATAAGAGATTTTTGTACCGAGTGGCTATAGTTTCAAGCTATTCTTCAAATTTGCACGTTTTTTTTCGCGGTCTTCGTTTTTTTGCCCATCCTGACATGTTGCACTTGTTGATTCGACCTCCTTTGTTCGCATAAACTATACCTCGGCCTTTTCGATGAATTATTTTTCGATAAAATCATGTTTCGGCAAAATGCTTTTCCACAAAATGTTTTTCTGCGAAAAATGTTTGAACCAAATGCCTTTCGACGAAAAATATGGCATTCGTTTTTTCCTAGATCCTACTAATTATTCGCTAATACACCTCTAACTATCTATTTTGGTGTTTAGTACTATCGACTTTTTTGAAAATGTGGGAACGTCCTTTTTTTCTTCGTCTTCACCTCTTTATTAAGCACGGACAAAGAAGAACATTGTACCATTTTTCTTGTGTTAAGTAAATACTGAAGAAAAAGAAAAGCTACATACTGAACATGATTTTTTGGAAAAACCACGAGAAATGTATATGTGTACGTGTTATTTATCTTGGTTTTATTTCACGCATTCATTTTATGTGTGTATATGTCCTTCAGTTCAGATATGTTGGTTATGGATTGTTTGTTTCAATCTTGGACACAAAAATTCTAGCAATAGATTCAGAAAAATTAATATTCTTATGTGATAAAGTAGAAATAATTTTAAAAAGTAATGACAGCCACTAGTATGAAAATGAATTTTTACTGGAAATTTGACATCTAATAAATATATTTGATCAATTTTTCTAGTTTAATTACAGATTTGATGATATAACCGTAAGATTAAATCAAAGTCAATATAATAGAGCTTTATTCAGAAATCAATTGATTCAAACTGAATATTCTTTTGGTTTTAACATTCAGGTAGCATATAGTAAATGTAGTAGAGTATCATTAATTTAATTATTTAATTCAAATGGTAAAAATATTAAGGAAATAATATACAATTACGATCAATCGAATCAATATTTGACATCATTTACAAATCTAAATTATACAATAATCTATAATTATAATGAAAATGATGATTTAAATTTAATAAGTTATCCAAATGGGGGTTATATTGAGTATAAATATGATTATGAGATTTATTTTATTTTGGAATGTTGCTTATAACTGAAAACAAAAACTATTAAAAAAATCTCAAATGTTTTATTCAAACCCTTGTGAAATTCAAATAACTTTAAAATCTGATAATACAACTTCAAAATATAGTTGAAATTTGTTAACGAATAATAATTTTAGTAGAAACGCAATTGTAACAACAGCTATTTTAAGTTTCATTTTATTTTTGTTTATTATATCTGGATTTTATTTTCAAACTCTAGTAAAATGCTTCCTTCACTCACTCTTTCAATAAACAACGTTGATATAGAAAGAGTTTTGTCTCTTAAACTTCTTGGCATGATTATTTCATATAATTTAACGTGGAAGGCTCACATTGAATATGTGTCAATGAAATCTCGTCAAATGTTAGGCTCTATCTCAAGAGTCTTTCGTGACTCGCCCTCATTTCTTCGTTGTCATCTGTATAAAACTTGTGTAAGAACCGCGCTTGAATACGGTTGTGTTATCTACGATTCCACTTTTACTTCTCATCTTGAAATTTTGGATAAAGTTCAGCGTCTTGCTAGTAGGGTCATTTCACAAGATTTTAGTAGTTCTTCTTCTTCTCTGCTCAAACAATTTAAAATTCAACCACTTTCAAACAGACGTCTATATTATCGCCTTCTCTATTTCTATAAAATTTTCTATCATAAAAGTCCTCTCTCCTCTTTTGATCTGATTTCACAGTCAACAACGCGTCAAAGTTCTCGATTAGGCCATGATAGTTGCGTGTTTCAAATGTCAAAATCTGCATCTAGCTCTTTTCTTCCGCGAACCTCAAAAGACTGGAATGAACTACCTTCTGTTTTAGCCTCTCAAACTTCTTTAGCCACATTCAAAAATATGCTGCGAGGTATTTTAATAATGTTATTTTGTTTACTTATTTGAAATTTTTAGTTTTAGGTTATCACAGGGTATCCACGGATGCCACAAGATTTTGTTTCTTTTTTTTGTGATATTCTGCTCTTTAGTAAAAATAAATCTTATCTTATCTATCTATTAATTAAGATTAAAATTGTTTCGAACAATACAGTGTTCATTCTCAAGAATTCAAAATATAAAACCGAAAAATGCAGACAATAGAGTGGTAAAATACTTTTGAAAATGTTCTCTTTCTTTTCGTTCAGCATGTGCTATAGCATAACATAAATAGAAAAATAAAATGAAATATTTTTTTATTATCTTACTTTTGAAATACTTTATCAAATAATGTATTGCTACCCTAGATTCTCTATCTGTTTCTCTCTTTGTATGAATATGTCTGTCGTATTGAAGTTAGCATATTTATCGAAGTTCTAACGTCGATAAGGTGGGTTATCGAAGTTGTTTTGATTAAGCTAAACGGTAATTAATTGATTATTTGAATGCCATTATTAAAATTGCGTTCAAGTGTGTCGGGGTATGGAGGTTTTTAGAAAAGTTTCTGAAAACCTTTAAAAGCTGACTTGTCGAAAAAAATTTAGTTTCTGATAAAAAGATAATCCAACAAATATTTTCAATAATACCAGGACATAGAGCAAACATTTCTGATCAAAGTGAGATATCTACCAGCTCTGAATGATGTTCTGTTCAAGAGTTATGACAGTTTTACCCCTAATTTGCTGCTCAGCGCTAGCACACACGCCAAATCATCAGCAAAACAATTAGACAAACAATTCATAATAGATATCCACATATTGGCATGATAAGTAATAAAGAGAGTAGGCATAAAGCATGAACCTTGGGGACCTCCTCTACAGACATTAAACCATCTCGATCGAATGCCGTTAACTTCTAAAAACGCCCGCAGTCCCTTAAGCCATGTTATAATCCATTGACGATAACTTCTAGGAATCCCCAGTTGAGCAAGTTTACCAATACAGCCTTCTCACCAAAGCTAATCAAAAGCTGATTTAAAATCGACAAAAACTGTGGCAACTGGAGCAGAATTCGCCATATAAGATGATATTTGTTCCACTAACGTCAACACTCTAGTTTGTAAACGAAAACCGGGTCTAAACCCTGACTGTGTATCAGGCAGTATACCCCTTCCTTGTAAAACTGTTTGAAATCTGACCAAAAATAATCTCTCAAGAACTTTTAGAAGGGTGTCTAACAATGATATAGGTCTAGTACCACTGACCACACAAACCGCTTCTTTTTTAGCTAATAAAATTATGCGCACTTTCCAAAAGGACACTAATTCAAAGTCGATAAATGTTTTATTAAACAGTTTTAATAATAGTGACCAGAATTCTAAAGGGATAAACTGTAGCATATGAGGTGAAATACCATGCGCATCACAAGAGTGTTTTGCTTTCATGGAATTCACCACCTTGATTAGTTCGGTAAAGGTGATCAAAGGAATATCTTCACTTTCGTTTTCCCATTCAGTTGGCCGTTGAAGGTCCAAATAAGGATGAGGTCTATATACTGTAGGCTCAACTAAGAGCTCCTCATAATAATCGGTAGCTAAGTCGCCATTAATGCAGGATCGCGAATAACCAGACTTCCATTATTGATTGAAAAAGCATGAAGAGAACTTGGGTATTTGTAAACTACGCCATCACCCACCAACGCCCCCAAACTACCCGAGACCATTCTAGATCGATAGAGCGCGTCAGATAACCCTACACCAACATCCACCAACACCCACTTGGACCTACACCTGAGGTACCCTGAACGAAATACTTCCACCAACACCCAGATGGACGCGTATTTGCATCTGCT